AAGGTCTGGGTTGTTGCAAGATGTTACCACCCAACGAACTTCAAGGGAGGGCATGATCGAAACATAATAAATGCTTTGTTTCTACCACTACACTTATTACTAGAGCTGTCAATTCGGGTAAACATGTCGGGTTAAGGTTGGGTAAATATGGGTCAGGTCAACTCGGGTCGAGTCGGGTCAATTTGGGTTAATGTCATACCTATGTTGGTCAGGCTCGATTGGGTCATGCTTGAGTTGTGTCACGTCGGGTCATATATCTTATCGGGTTTGGGTCGATTTTAGGTCAATTGGGCTAATAACAGGTCGAGTGACATTTGGGTCGAGTGAATAAAAGGTCGGGTTTGATTCGGGTTTTCACGTGTTAAAACGAGCGAGTTAGGGTCATTCTCGGGTTTGAGTAGGGTTCGGTTCAAGTTAATAATTTACGGGTTATAATCAAGTTGGGTCATTCTCGGGTTCAACTCGGGTTTGGTTCAAGTCAATAATTTACGGGTTATAATCAGGTTGGGTGATTTCCAAGTCGGTCCTGGCACACACGACACGGTGACTGAGGAGAGGGCCATGGGCCGTGCCGTGAACACGATTTTAAGAACCCGGCACGAACCCGCGGGCGGCACGATAGTTTGGTCTGCCAGCACGGCATGCCAGGCACGGCCATAAAATAACATAAATAATAATATAGAACTATAATAATAAAAAGAACAACAAAAAAACATAAACATAAACATAAATTCATAAAATTATTTAAATAGTATATCCATTTTAAATGTTGTTTAAAAAAATTAAAAATATTATGGGTAGTCTGGTGCCCTGCACGGCAAGGCACGCCTGGCGCGTGGGCTGTGCCATGTCGTGGGTTGGGGTGTGCTAAATGGTGGCTCGTCACAGCACGACACGCCAAGATGTATATAGGCACAGCACGAGCCACCACCAGGCACGGCCCGGCACGACACATTGCCCACCTCTAGGTTCAAGTCGGGTTCAGTTTAAATCAATAATTTGCGGATTATAATCAGGTCGGGTCATTTCCAAGTCGAGTCATGTTCGGATTCGGGTCTCAAATGTTAGGTTAATCTTGGTTTCGGGTTGATTTCAGGTCGGTTCATGTCGGGTCATATCGGGTTCAGGTACATTAGTTGGGTCGGTTCGTTAACACTTCATGTAATGACGTAATGTTTAATCATCATCAACTAGTGTGTGGCCCGGGCGATGCTCTAAGTTGCTAGTTTGTAATTGCTTAATTTACTAATTGAATTCGGCTGTTTAGATAGTAAGGCTTGTTGGTTTCGAGTTTAACTATTGCTATAAACATTTTGTAGTTGCCAAATTCAATCATTACATAATGGAAACAAATATTATAATAAGATACAAATTAACTTATTTAAGTTAACAATAATTTTGTTGGATAAAAAAACATTATTAATAAATGACTAAGATGAAAAGATTCTTAACTTAAGACTTGTTGGTCTTGAGTTCAAGTATTGTTAAAAGCATTTTTTAGATGCAAACCTAATACATGTGAAAGTGACATGTCATGTTTATAGTGACATGTGGCACATATTGCTGACATATCAAACTTAAAAAAGGTGACACGTAGAACATATTATATTTTAGGAACGCTTTATAATATATAAGAGTAGATTTCTTCATTTATTGTAAGAGAAATAATTTCACATTAAATTCGAGTTAATTAGTACAAATTAGTTTAGATAAGATATAGCTAAGCTTGGCAACGCAAGCTTGTGAACAAAAGTGGGGGCATTAAAGTGGTGGAACAAATGGAAGTTTAAGAGCATCTGTGTTAGGTAAGGGCAGGAGCTCATTCAACATACGAATGAAACTTAGCTACTGGCTAACACTTGCAGTGTCGTAGGCAGATCACCCAATCTTCCATACTATGCTTTGATCAAATATTAATAAAGTGGTCTAAATTGAATTTAAGGTGATTTAAATCGAGTCAGGTCAATAATAGGTTAGGCTGAGTTCAAAATGGGTCAGGAACAATTCGAATTGAATTTGGGTCGGGTCAATAACAAGCCATGTTCTTGTCGAGTTGACATGGGTCGAACTAGGTCGTTGGACTAATCCTCCCTAAGCCAAACAAAATTTATAAACACTTAACTAACCAAAATACAAGTATAGAGGTAAGTCAAGGGTCGAACCCAAAGGAACGGTAATGTCTAAGTGCTTTCAATTATGTGCCTAAGCTAGGTCGAAGCCTAAGGATAAAAGGTGACACTAACAACTACTTAAACGGAGAAACCGAACAAATAAAGTGCTAGGGATTAGGATTCACAAATAATGGCAATGAACAGAGCAAATTGGGATAGGAAGCCGACTAAGTCAAGCAATGTGAGGGAAGATCAATCATGCAACCAAAAGAGCATATCAAGCTATTTTCCTAGAGGTCTAACTAGCGTCAACTACGATAAACTCTAGCTAGGAAACGTCACAAGACACCTCAATCGTGTAAATGCAAGCCACAAATCAATGGTCCATATCAATGTGAACTTACAATGCAATCTAGTGTGAATAACTAGGGTGATCAAGCCTAAATCAAACACACACATGCACATAATCAATTAACCAATTTAATCACATCATCAACTCCATCAATTTCCCCCAATTTACATCAATCCATCACATAATATAAACTTCACCATCACCCTAGCAAGGAAACTACTCTAACAACATCATCAAATCAACTAACAACTAAAGGAATCAAGAATCAACAAAATATGAAGAACAATTACACTAATCAATGATCAAACATCAAAATCCAATCAAATCAAATCAAACAAACATGAATAAACTAATCAAAACAATAAATGAGATAGAGTTAGAAATACTCATTGATAATAGAGAAGATCTCCAACACAATTGTCATCCTTGCATCTTCAATCTCTCAAATCACCATTGAAATTCCTCACTTTCTCTCTCTAAAATCTACTCCTAAAACTAACCCTAAAACTAGAGAGAGAAGCTCTCCACTAATCTAAGAATATGATCAAAATCCTCTTCTAAAACTTCCTTCTAAACTTACCCCAAAAATTGGGTTTACATAGATATATATAGAGGCGCGAAAACACCAAAAACCGAGCACAAAATACCCACGAAGGTGCGCCTAGGCAACAGGGGAGGTGCGCCCGCGCCACCCTAAGGTGCGTGCGCGCCACCCCTAGGTGCGCCCGCGCCACCCTAAGGTGCGTGCGCGCCACCCCTAGGTGCGCCCGCGCCACCCCTAGGTGCGCCCACGCCTAGATGGATTCCTTCGAGATTCTCGCGGCTTCGTGCGTTCGCTACGGTCGCATGAGTAATGATGGTGATGAACACTAGGAGTGGCAGTAGCTAATGCTCTTGATTAGTGGGTACACCACTTCTTAATGGTAGCACGGCATGAGAGCGCAAGAGCCAAGAGTTGGAATTTCCACTTCCTTGCATCTTGAGCTTTCCAAACGCCGTGAGCTTGCTCCAAAGGCTTTCTCCACCTTAGTAGATCACCAATATCAAGACCCAAACCTCGTACAATACCTACAACCACGAAAATAGAGTAAATAAGGGAGAAAAGGCTAGAAAACCAACGAGATACACAAAAGCTACAAAATAAGAGAGGAAAGGTAAAACTAAGCAACACAGCATAAAACTAAGCATTTATTGAGCAAGAAAGCTATGAAAAGAGGATGAAAACAACCTAAATGCTCATCAAATGGGTGCCATTTATGACACCCATCACGAGTTGAGTTAGTAACAGATTGGGTTGAATTTCAAGGCGGGTTGAATTTGGGTCGATTTAATAACAGATCGGATTAAATTCAAGTCAGGTTAGTAACAAGTCGGTTTAAATTCGGGTTTTAACGGGTTAAAATAGATTTTGGTCAATCTCGGTTCAGGTCGGATTCGATTCAAATAAATAATTTTACAAGTTATATTCAGGAAATAAAATATGTTTGAAAATAGAGTTGTCAAATGTCAAAGCTGAAAAGGTCAGCTGAATCATTTGCAACTAAATTTATAAATTAGTCAGTCGAATCATTTGCAATTTTAGTCAACTACCATTTACAAGTCAGCTACTCAGCTGAATCACTCACAAAATCACAAGGAAAAAACTGTACTTACCTTAAATCATCAAACCACTACTTACTTCGTCTACAAATAATACGTACAATAACCGTGTAGGTTTTTTAGTTTCTACTGCCTAACGCTCTTGTTTGAGGACAAATTCAAATATACAATTCTGACTTTTATTCTCCTCATCAAATTTTAGTCTACCTAAATTTGTCTTGACTGTCAAACAAACCACAACAACCACCAAAAAAACAAATGTTCGGTTGTTTTTTGGTGTTTGAAAATAATTTAGCCGGTTGGACTCACATTTAAAAGTATGGAACTTATTTTATATGGATAATGGCCTGCAATAAAGAATTATAATAAATCATATAAGTATATTTTTGGGGGTTGATAACCTCAACTCCATTTAAATTAAAACTAGATTAGATCTCTTGCCTTGTACGATTATTGTTAAACTCAAGAATATTGTGGAGAAAACAGCTTAACCTTTGCATTGAAAATAATCACATATATATACACAATACAATAGGAAACCTAACTTGCCTAAAAATCCTAATAAGATAAACTTAACATAAATACAATATTAACAAATATAACCAAACCGGCTTTAATAGTTATGTCACTAAATTTAATCAATAAAAAAATATATTAAAAAAGTGGAAAGCTAAACGTCGCCCTCGAATATCTAACTAATGCCCGCAAAATAAATTAAAATTACAATCTTACCCTTTTTATAAAAAAAAAATAACCCTCAAACAAAATTACCCCCCTCCCCCAACAAAACCCTCATTCCTTACTCACTCTCATTCTCTCTCTAAACAAACCACCACCACCACATCCACCTCCACCACCACAACATCCACCTCCGCCACCACTATCACTGCAGATAAAAGCGCCGGAGTAGTGGTTGAGCGCCGATCTACACAGTGATAATGCTGCGGAAGGACAAAGGCAAGTCAATCGCCGGCGGAGAAGAGGTTTGTTTTTTTTTTCTGAAATCCAGGCAAACGCCTGATTTTTTCGCACAACCATGGCTGAAACGCCTAGTTCGTGCGTACAGCCGTGTGGTTGTATGAAAAATCTGGGCAGTTGAGGTGAAACTGGGCGTTTGCCTGGGTTTTTATTTTTATTTTTTAAATTCGTTTTTTTTTTTTTGGTATTGGGTTTTAATTGCTTGGCTTTCAATTTGTAAATTCGTTGTTGTTATTATTATTAAGAACTGTTTGGAAATTGGAAATTAAATAATCAACTAAAGTTCAAGATTTTTGGGTTTTAATCAACTAAAGTGAAGGACTTCAATTGCTTGGTTTTTAGTTGTTTATTTTGGGATTTGTTAGTGTAGATTTAATTTTTGTAATAGTTTATTATTTGGTTAAAAGTTTGAATACTTAGTTGTTAATTATTAGAAATTTGTTGGATTTTGTTATAAATAATTGGATGATATGTGTACTAGTTTATTATTTGGTTAAAAGTTTGAATATTTAGTTGTTAATTATTAGAAATTTGTTGGATTTTGTTATAATTAATTGGATGATATGTGTACTAGTTTATTATTTGGTTGAAAGTTTGAATATTTAGTTATTAATTATTAGAAATATTACACTAGTAGAAAAATACAAAAAGGCAACCCCCAAATGGCACCGGTTCAGACCAAACCGGTGCCAAAAACGGCCCTAAAAATGGGCGGGATTTTAGACCAAGAGTAATGGCACCGGTTCAGACCAAACCGGTGCCAAAAATACAAAGGGCACCGGTTTGAACCGGTGCCACTGAACCGGTCCAAGGTTTTTAGGAAAAACCGGAAAATTTAAACCCTAAAACCCTTATAAGCTTCGATCTCCTTATCTCTCCTCCTTCTCTCCGCCTCCATTCCCCCATTTCATCTCCTCTACTTCTCTCTCCTCCTTCTCTCTCCTCTCTCTCTCTTCGTTCTTCTTTCTTCTTTCATCTCCTTCGTTCTCCTCTCTCTATTCGTTCTTCTTTAATTAGTCTTTCAACTCCCTTCGATCTCCTCTCATATATATGCAGCAACCAAAGCTCGAGGACAGCCGATCTCCTCTCATTAGCGCAACAACAGCCGCCGCCACCACCACAATGTTCGAGCACCACCACCGGCATCAACATCAACAACAATTTCTAAGATTTTTTTTCAAGTTCTGGCTTTTTTTTTTCGATTTTAATAGTTTTTGTTTTCGATTCACCAATTTTGGTTTTGTTTTCGATTCACCAATTTTGGTTTTTGATTTTGGTTTTGGTTTTTGATTTTGATTTTCGATTTTGGTTTTTATTTTGGATTTCAATTTTAGGGTTTCGATTTTAATTTGCCTTTTATTTTGGATTTTGGTTTTTTTTCCTATTTGTTTTTCGTATTTGTTTTTTTTTCCGATTTTGATTTTGTTTTTCGAATTTTTGGTTTCTTTTTTCGATTTCAATTTTGGTTTTTTTATTCGTTTTTGATAATTTTTTATATTTCAATTTCAATTTCTATTTTATATTTTATATTTTATATTTTGATAATTTTGGTTTTTTTTTCGTTTTTGATAATTTTTTATATTTCGATTTCAATTTCTGTTTTATATTTTATATTTTGATAATTTTGGGTTTTTTTTTCGTTTTTGACAATTTTTCAATTTTTTGATAATTTTTATATATTCTTAAGCTTATTTTTACCAATTGATTTTTTTTTCTGTTTTATTTAGTGTGTACAGATTATGCAAGAATATTGATATGTTCATGTTGTAATTTTTTTTATAATTTATAATGTAATTTTTTTTATTTATTTATAATGTTAGTTGTAATTGATCTATATTGTAATTTTGGATTTCATTATGTATTGTAAATTTTGGATTATATATATTGAAACCAATTCAATTTTTGTTGTGAATTGTTATTTTTTTCAGTTGATTTTATTGGTAAGTGAAAAAAAAACCAAAAAAAAAATAAATAAATAAAAATGGACATTTTTGGCACCGGTTAACCGGTGCCAAAACCTGTTTATGGCACCGGTTTTGAACCGGTGCCAAATAGGGGGGTATTTGGCACCCCCCACATAGGCACGGGTTCAAACCGGTGCCTTAGGCCGGGTTTGAACCGGTGCCAAATGCGTTTTTCCACGTAGTGTTAGTTGGTTGATTTTGTTAGTATTAATGCCATTTTATTCTTAATTTAGAATGTAGTCGAGGGTTCTGGTCCACGACATGCTAGATCACGCGGCATTAACGCGTCGATTAGGAGAGATAGGGGGCCGGGGATTAGTATACGGGAAGGTAGTTCTTTACCGGAGCGCGACAGAGAAGTGGGTAGTTCTGGGACTTATTTGGATGAGCGGGAGGGATCCGGTCCTAATCCTTTGTTGAGGACTACTAGCTCGGTTTCGGGTTCAGGTTCGAGATACGATGATGATGGACCTGAGGACGATGATGCTAATGCTGATGCTGATGCTGAGGAGCAGCCGACTGTCGTGACGAGAGGTCCTGATGGGAGATTTACGAGTTCACGACCACCTCGATCTGTAGCGCCTTGGCTTGTTCAGGGGCCGATGGACGGTGGACCCGATGTTGGGACCGTTATTCCTATTTTTGGGGCCCATGTTGCTCGATATATTTGGGACGGGCATGATCGACGGTTTTTGCGGTGTCATACTAGAGCTAGTGTGTGTAGATTGTTGAGTGAATGGATGGAGGGATTTACGGCAGACACTGCTACGCGGATACGACAGACTGGGTTGTCGCACCTGCCAAGCATTATGCACGACCACCTTAATTTTCCGCTGATTTCTGCTTTTGTGGAGAGATGGCAGCCAGATACAAACACCTTCCACCTACCTTTTGGTGAGATGACCATCATGTTGCACGACGTTTACCACATACTTGGTATTCGGGTTGAAGGTGATATAGTTGCCGAGGATCTATCTAGTGACCAGTATAGGACATTTGCAGCTGAGTTGTTACAGTTGACTACAGAGGAGCTACAGGTCAAGACTCAGACTGCCATATATAGGAATGGTGGCGTCCATACTGACCAGATTTTTGATAGGTATCGTACTGTAGAGACTACAAAGGAGGTTCAGGTCATTGGTTACATGTGGGTCCTTTTGGGTAACACGCTCTTTACTGACAAGAGCGGTTCTCGTACCCACCCTTCTTTTCTCACTGAGTTGTGTGTGGAGCATAACCTGGAGAGGTTGACGAGATACTCCTGGGGTTCAGCCACACTAGCGTACTTGTATCGTCAGCTCGGGCATGCCACCCGAAATGGATGTGATTCTATCGTGGGTTGTCTAACTCTTCTCCAGTCTTGGATATATGAGTACTTTCCATGTTTTCGGCCTCACCAGGGTGTGTTGACACGAGACGTTCCATATGCACGTGCAGGGTTATGGGATGTTGGTATGGCGCGGAAGCATCAACAGCGTCTCGTGTCCTTTCGTACTCGACTTGACCAGCTGGGTGACCATGAGGTACAAATAGATACGTAATACTATTTGTTTTACAATGCTTTAATTTACAGTTGATTTACTCTTGTATTAATTTGTAGGTATGCTGGTTGCCGTACGGAGCTTTTCCAGCATTACAGGTGCCTAGGACTGCGTTCACTGGATTTATTCGATATCGAGGCATCATAGAGCCATATATGCCCGGTCGAGTTGTTCGACAGTTGGGGTTTATACAGGAGGTTCCCGGTGACATGATTAGGCCTGATGATGCTCATAGACCAGTTAGTGTTAAGTCTTATAGGGTCAGTTTTTCAGCTCAGATGACTACTCGCATGTGGAATGGTTTTGTTCCCGGTGCTGCGTTCAGTCTTCTGCTTGGTGGATATACTAGAGTTCCGCCTGGCGGACATACTTGTGCACCTGACTACCTATCATGGCTTAGGAGAGTTAGTCATCCTATCGTCGCTCCTAATGTTGAGGATGATCATGGTCTTCCTTAGAGGACCAACGTTGATTACATAAGTTTTTTATTACTTGTTTTTTTTTTTTAATTTTTTTTTCCTATTATTATTAATACAATTATAATTGTTTATGCAGTGGGTAGGACGATTCATGGTTACAGCACAGCGATCACTTAGTGAGTACCCTACACTATCGAGAGACACCAGAGCAATGTTGGAGCAAGTGATTTCTGATTGGAATGCAATAATGGACTTGCTGATTAGTTGTAATATTTATTTGTAGCTTGGACTTTATTTTTTTATTAGACTATGTTTTGGATGTTGTTAGTGGCCATTTAAGTTTTACACATTTGTTGGAAATAATCAAGTTGACATTTATGTTTGAGTTTTTTTTTTTTTTTTTTCTAATAGACTGTGTACTTGCTTCACAAAAGAAATGCTTAAAATAAATTTAAAAAATAACCATGTTTATTAATAAGTTAAAATAAAGTTGAATCAAAATCCACAACAATACTCAACGGTACTCAAGAGTTGATTAATGTCTGCCACAATTGAAGCCTTCTATCGTACCTTCTCTCCCACCCGTTTACACTTGCCTGTCGAGCGTTAAACCACATTGGTGAAATTGGAGGTAGTGGGTGGTCATGTTCCATATGCAACCGAATGAAATGCGATCCACCAACAGTTCCAATCACAAACTCCCCAGAAGGCCTATCTAAAGGTCCACGATTGTTCAACGGCAAAACAGTAGTAGATGGATAGTAGCTCGACGGTCTATTTCCTACTCCATAACAAATCACCACCATATTCCATAATTTGGCAATAGCAAAAAAATCTTGTTGTGCTACCATCCAGTGCTCCTCTCCATACGCATCACCATCCCATCTAATCCGGTCTATCTCCCTTTGCAGTCCTGAACCAACCCCTTGGCCCCATATGTCGTAGTAAATCATGTTTTACAACCAAGGGTGAGAACCAACCTCATTTGCCATTTGATGCCGAACCAATCGCCACTCCTCCTGAGTTCCATACAATAAATCTGCTACGCAACGAAATCCGCAGTTCCCATCACCAATTACATCCTTAACACCTACGACGTAAGGCCAAATGATGTTGGGAATAGCGTAGCTGTATCTGCATTGGCGCATGTCGAACCCGGTACCTACAAAATTAAAAACATAATATGACATATAGTTAAATTAAAATTTAGGATGAATAAACATATTATTTAAATCGATGATCACCTGTATTAGATGGGGGTGGTCTACTTCTAGATCGATTCTCTCGCCCACTACGTTCAACATGCTCAAAAAATGAAGGATCCTGCCTATTACGATTCTCGGGTGGTCGTCCCCTTACACGGGGGTTGACTCTAGGCTCCTGAAGGTCATCGTAGTTAGGATCCATCTCACCCTCAATAACTCGTGACACGTGCCTAAGCATCACAGGATCACTGGCAATAACCTGATCAACAAGGGTGCAGAAATGAGCTCGATCCTCATCATTTTCATCAACTATATTAGGAATGTCGACACCATCTCCAATGACAAGGGTCCTCCAAAATGGATGAACATTCTTAGAATACAACCCCTTCCCTGCAGCAATTGAGTCGTATATTTGCACGCACAAGGTAAGCCGTGGGTAGTACGTAGAGCACACCCACAGCGTCGATGAATATCCGTACTTAACCCTCGCATTCTGTTTGTCTCACCGAGAAGAATAAACAGACAATAGTGGGATACCTTTCCGTTCAGCTGATGTAAAGGCTTATGCTTGTACTTATGACCATGACTTGTTCTACATGCCTCCAATCCATTACGAATGGCTATGATCTTGTTCTCAATCGATCAGTGCACTTGAGCCCAAACCGTGTCCAAAGAGCCTGTTGAACTGTCAATCCAACACTTCAATGCTGAATGCTGGCTCTCAACCCTGCAGTTGTTAACATTGCCAAAGTGTAGTACCTGGTTTGTCCAAAACAATACAAACTTCTCCTTGTGTACGAGCCAAGTGTCCATAACATATTCAATCACTTTCGGCCATCGACTCCACTTGGTTTTCAGCACTGCAAGTTCTCTGTTATATGCCTCTTCAGATGTAGCATTAATCACAAACCTCCACCTCCCATTTTTGAACTTGGCACCAATCTCCTTTTTTTTTCAAACATGGAAGTAACCTTCGCCTCAACATCTTTGTTAATATGACACACACACAACATGTGTCTTGTGTTTGGAAACACGCTCTTCAACGTTGCACAAAGGCCAAGCTCCCTATCTGTCAGTAGTACCGATGGCTCTCTATGATGACCGATCAACAACCTCAAGCACCCACCGATAACTTTCCTGAGACTCTAACCTCATGAATGCGTATGCAACAAGAAAGTTTTGATTAGTCGGTGTAACCCCAACAATCTCAAAGAATGGCATGTCGTATCGATTCGTCTTGTAAGTGGAATCCATACCTATCACGTACGGGTATGTGCGAAGCAAATTTGTCATGATCGGGTGTGCCATGAAAGCGTGTTGCAACACATTGTTGGAATCAGTAAAAACCCAAGTGAGGTATTTGCTCTGTCTGGCCAAATGAATCACCTGGTGAACTACTTCTCTTCCTTCAAATTGCTCCATTCTTATTTTACTTCTGCAGTTGTAGACATGCCTGATGTTAGGATGGTCTCCGGGAAACTTTTCTACAAGAGTTCTCATGATATGTCGAGGTGGCACCTGTGCCTGAGTCATGTCACGCACTACCTGCTTAGCAGCAATACTAAGACCACTAATTTGTCGATGTCCCTCGGGATAAACAACCAAAGAATGATTGTGAGTTCCGTTCAAGCAACTAAGCTTCCAACCATTTACTACTCTGACATACTCAACCTTGAGTTTGAAGGGACAATTGTTTGCCTTGCTTTTGGTGTCTTTGCATATCGCGTTCACATGTCTCTTATCATGCCCTTTTTTCCACGATCACAACTCACATATCGATACGGTCGACCACTCCGATCGGTCTTGTAAGAAGCCTTCACTAACATAAATCCGAGCGGTCGACAAACATTTTGTGCCCATAGAACAACATCCTCAAAACTCGGAAACACTTCGTTTGTCAAAAAATGTCCACTATAGTCCACACCGTCACCATCCCCGGACTCAGAATCCTATATAAATATTAATAAAAGTTAGAACCAAAGAACAAGACTAATAATAATAACAACAATAACAATACAAATAATTATAAAAAAAACTTTCAACCATAATAATGACAATAACAATAATAATAACAATAACAAAAATAATAATAATAATAATAATAATAATAACTAATTTTAATAACAATAATAATTTCGAAAGTATAAAATCCAATGACAATCAACCAATACGTGAAATAAAAAATAAACAAAAAAAAAGAAAAAAAAAGAAAAATCGAAACCCAGGAAACGCCTAGGATTTTCGAATGACCTAGGCCGAAACGCCTAGTTTTTTCGAAACATCCTAGGATATTCGAAAAAACTAGGCGTTTCAGCCTAGGTCATTCGAAAATCCTAGGCGTTTCCTGGGTTTCGATTTTTTTTAAAAAAATTAACGCAACGTACCGATTCTGATCGATTCGACGAGCCTTCGGCAAGCGTCAAAGGTTGTGTTTCTGGTATTTCGTTGTTGTCCATAAGATCTAACGAAATTTATTTTGCAAAATTTATAAAATTTGTTTGATTTCACGGTGGTTGGGGTGGTTGTCCGATGAAGGTCGGTGGCCGTTCACCACTAGAGAGAGCGGTAAAAAATTTTGTGTCTAGCAAAAGTATGAAATTAAGGTAAAATTAATTATTTTTATAATCGTTATAATAAGGTTAAATACGTAATTTAATTTCATTTTGCGGGCGTTTGTTAGAAAATCGAGGGCGATATTTAAAAACCCCCTTAAAAAATAGCATAGATAAAATACATCTATAACATATTTATTATCTTCTTATTTTGTCATTTTGTGTATATAATGAAATGAAAGATGAAATATAACGAAAGTGTCATTTAGACAAATGAGTATCTTTTTTTTTGGCGTTCCACCCGTTTCACCCTTTGGGCTAATCCGGATTCGGAGATCAGTTTTGGGTGGTTAGGTTTTAGTCTCCTTTCGATTGTTGTTGCGGGAGATCGAATACGAGTCCTCCCTACCAAGTGTAGTCCCAATCACCACTACACCAACAACCAATTGGTAAATTTTATATTAATACTACAGATCTACATGTTAGACCATATAAATATTATAAAAATTCAATGATAAATTAGTATAAAATTTTCTTTTTATTAATCAAATAAGTATTTAGAATTGTGTATTACATTTAATGGGCAGGAATAATAACCTCGTTTGATATTTAGTCAATTTTTTCACTAAATTATTATGGTACTATATGAAAGTATTATTGGAGATACAAATACAAAGAACTTAATCAAATTATCGTACATGATTACATGTATAGATAAAATGCTTATAATGTTATGCTATGTGGCTAAAATCCCTTTATATATTTATTAGGCTATTGTATTAGAATTAGGCGAGAAATCAATTAAAGTATATATATATATATATATATATATATATATATATATATATATATATATATATATATATATATATATATATATATATAGAGAGAGAGAGAGAGAGAGAGAGAGAGAGAGAGAGAGAGAGAGAGAGAACTAGAACTGGTCTGGATCGTCAATCGTGCTTCATCCAAAGGCTTATATTTCACCCGCCTCATTAAGGGTATTTTTGTAAATTCGCACGGAGAATGACCTACTCCCTAACTTTGTCGGCGCTTCTTTTGTTTCTCTCTTTTCTTCTTACTTTCTCTCTCTATGTCCAAATTCTCTGAAAGGCGATTTTGCTCAGTTCGTTCATTGATTTCTTCAATTTATAATTGTAGATTTTCAAATTGTTCGATTCTTCCTATACGATCTTGTTTTTGTTGTTATTTGATCATTCTAGAGAGGTATTTTTTGAATTCTTTTGTTTTTTTAATCTATTATTGATATTACTATTTAATTAGGGTTTTTCCTCCATTTTTGGTTTTTTATAGTTTTATGATATTGTAGCTTATTTTGTTTACTCAATTTAATTACTAGTGTTTTGGTTCGGTTAGGGTTTTCGTTTTTTACTTGATTTCATTGATTTTTTAGTTGAGACGCTTAGCTTTGTATTATTGGATTTTTTTTCTGGATTATGTTTTGATGCCTGTCTTTGAATTTTCACGAAAATTGTATTATGTGTGTCTTTTGATCATGTTCAATTTTCTTTGTTTTTCGCTTTTAAATTCTTATTATTTACCTTTTATTTAGTTTGCTTTACTTTTTATAATTTTTTATTTACTTTGTGGTTTGGCATTGTATGTATAAACTGTTCTGAAAGTTGGATTAAGCTATTTGCAAGCATTTCTATGTCTTTTTGTTGTATTTTGGAACTTAATGAGATTTTGATATCGATATACTAAACATATTTAAGCGTTTCTATGGTAGCTAGTATAGGTTTTATATTGCACTTATGGGTAGATGATGGCATACAATGTGGCGATCATATATTTTATTTTTTATTCGTATTGTGATTTGGTGCCTGAGAATTTGTTCATTTATTCCTTGTTTCATTGAATAGACTATAAGTCTATAACAAAATAATTTTCTAAAATTTCAGCTCTTACTAGTGTTGATAAGGCTCCCTTTCCTCTCACTTCTGGTGTTTATTATTCACATAGGTGCGGAGATGGGTGTCATCCCGCTTCACACTTCTATAACAAGTAGACTGAGCTATACTACATACTGCTGCTCTTGTACAATATGTATTACATACTATATTACCAGCGAACTATATTGCTAGTGAGTTATATATTCTTATTTGATAAGACTGTATAAAGAGCATGTATAGGGAATTGCAGATTGAGCTATATTACAATAAAGTCTTCAGATACAGGGAATTGCATATGCGTAAATGAACTAAACAACTTAGCTATCTGAACAAGTAAGAACGATCTAAAACCCCCAGCGAGTGTACATACACTTTATTGATTATTGTGTTTACCTTTTAGATTATTTGGTTTACTTTTGAATAATTTTTATTTAATACATACGGATGTTTTATTTACACACTCAATTCTTTATGCTGCCTTGATTTGCAAGACTCTTTTTTGTCACTAGACTACTAACTCAATTGGTAAGTTACAGCTGCTGCTCTGGAGGCCCTGCCAAGCCTGCAGCTGCTGCTCTACCAATGCTGCCAAGGTTGCTGCTACAGCTGCTGCCCTGCCATGGCTAAGGCTGCTGTTGCAACTACTGCTTTGATTTTCATTTTTTATTTTATTTTATCTTCTTTTTCAACATGTCCCTTATCATTGTGGACATGGTCCATTCTGCATATATATTAGGATAGTAATTAAGCTTTTCTTATTTACTTTTGAGTATTTTTATTTACTTTTGTGATTTTTTCAGTATATAGAAAATAAAAATGATCGATTGTGTCAACTAATTGTTCTTACTCTATAATAGCCTACTAGCTCAATAGGTAGAGCATTATGCAAGTGCACAAAAGATGTGGGTTCAAATCCCAAGTAGGTTCTTCTAACGCCTCGAACCATTGTAATGTAATTATTATTTTTATATATTTTGAGTTTTTCTAATTTTCATTTGAGTAAATATTAACTACTCTAAAAGTGAAATTATTTACTTAAATGATATTTTGAGAAACTGTTTAGCATTTTTTAATTTACTTTAGAGTAATTACTATTTACTTTTGACATTTTTTTGCTTTAATTTTGATTTTTGACAAGATTATCTCCTAAACTAAGTACACACCTGTAGGGAATAATTTCAAGCGTTAATCCCCTTGCTTGAACCCCACTGTGATCATACTTTAAAGTACGGTGGCGTCTAAAGAGAAAGAAGATAGAGCAAAAGAGTCGCCAACAAGTTTTAGGAACTTGTAAACCGTTCAAAGGGTGAAGGTTACACCCCATAACGATCCAAGAGATCGTCAACTCCATAAGGTCTTGAACCAAATAAGGGTTCGGGGATGAAGGTACAAATCCAACCTAAAAGAGATTGAACCTACCCTAATAATAGACCTCTACTTTATTCTGATCGTATTCATGTGCGCTTTCTGACTAACATGCAATCAATAGGATTAACCCTAAACCTGTTTATCTATGTTGGTTGAATTTAATGCACAAATAAATCTTTTATTGGCGATCACTTGAATTATAATCATATTAACCCTAACAAGATTATTAATTATCTTATTAAGCGTGATTACAAGTACCAATTCCCTTTAAACATGAATAAAAGGCGTGATCAAGCAATAACAATAAATATAATCAAGCAACATAATAATAATAACCATAATAAAAATAAATTATAATCATAATAAAGATAAATTATAATTGAAATAGTCATGATAATAATCATCATAATAACAATCATATTAATCATAATAATAATCATGTTAAAGCATAGCAAGATCCTAGGCATCATACAAACAAGATTAATAGCAAATCCTAGCATGTCACTAAACAATAGAAATCAAATCTGTAACCCAAACATGATACTAACAATCATAAATATTAGGAAGAACATAAAAGGCATCGCACTAATCATATTTAATATTAAAGTTACCCTAGACATGATACTAGGAATATCATAATAACAATCTAAACGTGATTTCTACATCATAACATCAATAAAAACCATTAAAGCACTTACTTTGATGCCTCGTACCTCTTTCTAATAACAAAATACACACATTAGTAACTTCAAGGAAAATAATAAACAAAACAATTAAATTAAATAATTGAAAAGAGAGATTTGGGACCAAACCCTCATAAATTAAACCTTTCACGTCTAGGGCGAAGGCAACTTCGAATATGGCTAGGTGTTTCTAGATCTAATGAATGCGGAATTTTGTATGTAAAAGGCTAGTTTAGAAAAAAAGAGAGAGAGATGGTGAATGATTAAAGAGAATAAAAGAGAATTGAAAACTGGTTGTAGGTGAATGAAAACGGAGTTTTTAATACATTATTTATAGAGAAAATCGGCCAAAATGATAAAATATCAAAACAGAGTCTGACGCACCTAAAACAGAGCTGGCGCTAACGCTGGCTTATTGGCGCCAGGCGCCAACATTAGCGCCAGGCGCCAGGATTAGCGCCAGGCGCCAATGTCTGGCGTTAGGCGCTAATTCTGTTTTTGACGCGTTTTCTAAAATCAGATAAATTTTGTCGTACAGGAGGATAAAATCGTATCTTTCCCTCAAAAATGTTCTTTGATTTTAATTAAAACTCTGAAAAGTCAACAAAAGTCAATTTATCAATGCTAATTGACTTAGGACTGAAAAGAACCTTCTAGAAGAATCTAGAAGACTAAAACCATTCCTAATTGCATTAGGAATGATAAATCATATTAGGCCTGCCCTAGATCATTGGGCCGCACATAAGGCTCAAACCGGGTCCAGTTTAGTAAATTGGCCATAACTTCCTCTATATTCATCGGAATTGGGCTTATAATATATCGTTAGAAAGCTCTTTGCAAGCCCCATCCAAATACACTATTATTGGACCCATATCATGGACCAACCAAACTGGATTGACTGTTTTCTTCAAATAATTTTTCAAAATAGAGAGAAGAGAAA